TTATTAAAATCCAATTAAACTTCTTTACAAATAAAGATAAAGAAATTACATTATTTGAACTTTATATCTATAAGATATTAAGACTAGAGACTTAGACAGAGCCCTTGCTAACTCAAAAGTTATAGGAGTTATCTGTGACCTAAACCTATTGATTTATTTTTATAGATAGTGACTTCAAAAGTATTTATATAATTTATATAGAAGATATCAAGATTGAGTATATCAGGATTTTGAGTAGTTGGAGCATATTTTTGCTTAAAAATACTAGTATGATTGTCTTAGTAAAATTTTTTTTCTGATTCGGCTATCCTGCTTTGTTTATTATGGTATCAGTTTTTCAAAAATTACAATAACTTTATCTCATAACTATAGTGGTACAACCAAAATTAAAACTCGCCTATGTGATTTTATATACCAAGTGCGATCTGTCTAAATAGCTTTTGGCCTCTCTTAAGGTTTTTAACTCACTAAAGACTTTTTTTCTGTTGTTTATTGACTGGCAGCTACCTGCCACATCAAGAAGCAAAATAAGAAAAAACATAAAACGGATTAAAAAAAAACACAGAGGTATAGGGAGCTACGATAAAAATATACAAATATGAAAAAAAAGAGATAAAGGATATCGAAAAAAACAAAACAAAAAGCAATTTTGTCTATTCTAATACCACTATTATAAGCCTGTGAGTAGCTTAGAAAAATTATATACTAACTAGACAAATTAGTCTCTACTTTTATTTTTCTCTAAACTAGTATACGAAAATAAAAACCCAATAGGAAAACTTTATTGACCAACTTAAGGTAGAGAAGTTGGAACAAAGTCTCAGAATATTGTTTGTACGAATATCTATTGCATTTGAGGCATGTGTATACATATATTTATTATCATGTTCTGATTTAGAAGCTAAACAATGCTAACTTGTTTGATACATGTGATGTTAATCATTTGAAGGGGGTAAACTAAAATGCCTACTTTTTACAAAAATTTTCTCAAAAAAAAGTGATGGGCCAACAAGAGTATGTGAGGTTCTTCTTGTAAGTTTTACAGTTATATGGGCTGCCATCAATAGAAATCAGGCAAATCTACAAAAATCTAATTTTGAGATAATTGATGTTTTCTGCAACATTACACAAAAAAGATCATCAAAATAATAATTCCGATCTTAGTTCCGATCTTAGTTCCGAACTTAATTCTGAACTTAATTCCAACCCATATCAAAGTAGATTGTTGAAAGCCAGCATTACTACACAAATACATGCCCCAAGCGTAAGTTTTACTGTAAAGCTTAAAAAAGGTGTACCTTAAAGGTTTCAAAAGCTGCTCAAGATACAGTGGTATGATTCAAATAAGACACTCTCAAGATAGTTGTTAATTGAATCGTATGGATAAGTGATTAAGAGATCTAACAAAATTTTTATCAGAGCAAGTATTAATGATTTATACTGTAGAAGTTATACAAAGTTTATTTCATTCTACCAGTTAACAAATCCTTTAGTAGATCCGGGTTCTAGTACTCGCCCAGAGGTTATATTGTAAAAAAAAAATTTTACAAAAAATTTAAAGTGCATACACACTTTGTATTTAAAATAGGCATTCTGGCTATTTGAAAAATCTGCATTTAATTAATAAAGCTTTCGTGGTTCATGCCTGGGTCTAATTCATGAAAGGCTACTATTTTGAAGAATCTTGTATATAAATTCTTACGGTAGTTTTTTTAATTGGAAATATGTGGTAGGCATTAAATGTAAGTTTGCAACTTATTGTATTTTAATTTATAATTCGAAATGAATTTTTACTTTTTTTATAGATAATTGCATGCAATATAAAAATATCTTAGCTTCTACATTATGAGTTGTATAGCAAGCATTATAGACCTCCGGTTAATAATCATGAGTGGTTATTAATTCTGGGTTCAGGTGAGATTGGTTGGTTGATTAATAAGTTTCAGGTTAGTTGATTAACGGATGCTAAGTTGTTCAAATAGTTCAAGGTATCATATTAACAAATTGGTTTGTTCATATTAAGTCTGAATTATAAGAATGCTGTATAAAATTTAGCAATATCATACCTTTGAAAGCTATGATATCACAATGAAGTCATTTCTGCCAATAAAAAAATCTTGATCATTCTTATTTATAATATAAAATTGGAATAGTCTTAAAAAAATTTGAATTATCTTTCTGTTTTACTTTATGTGAATCGATCTTTTTTAAATTATTATAAGTTTCAAAGTAATTGAGTTATGAATACCTTTTATTAATATCATTCTAATTCTCATTTAATATTCTCATGTTATTTAACATATCTGAGGTATAAGCAATTACTTAATCCTTATTTAAAGTTAGATAATTCATAGAAACTACTTTTTTTTTAAAAAAAATTTTTTTAAGATATCTAATCAACATTGTTTTTGGTGTATTGTTATATGACTTTTACTAAAATGCACCTATGGTGTTTTACACCTATAAATGCATTATCTCAAGAACTGGCCAATTAACCAGTACGAGGGGTATTAAAAAAATGTTTTACATCCTCAAAACCCTTTCCAAACTTTACTTCTAACCTTAAATGCTAACTCTAATTTGAAAAATTTTGCAATAAAATTTTGTATACAAACCTTATAAAAACTATAAAATACAAAATCATATAATAGGTGCCAAACCACCATAGGTAAAACTATAAGATGCTATTATTTATGTTGCTTTTTTGGTTTGGGCTGTTGTAGTTTTGGACAATAAAGATCACACTTGGATGAATTTTGAATATGCTGTCTTACTTCCTCATATAGATACCACCGTCGTTCTAAGCTCAAGCCGGGAGGTATTATTTCATTAAGAAATTCATCTTTAGTAGGTAGTTTAGTATTCGAACAAAGTAAATTAACCATTGTTTTGTTACCATTAATTTCTGGTTTGATTTCAACTTTTCCTAGAGAATTATGATGTAGTAGGAAATGATGCTGTTGAAGAATCGACAGAATTGGTGAAAAATAGGTATTTAAAAATTTTGTCCATTGATAAAATTTAACTTGAGCTGAACCATCTGGTTCATTAAGAGTTTGAGCAACATTAAACCCACCTAATGTAGAATGATTAACAACTTGAACAAGATCATCTAAGTCGTCTACTTCTGAATCACGTAATTTAAGCTTAAAAAGTCCAAAAAATTCATCAGAACTAAATTTGATATGTCCCGTGACCATAAATGAGTAGGTAATTTTTTCATGCAGTCCATTTATAATTTGCCAAGCAAGATACTTAATTACTGCATTATTTTTATTTTGCCTGGCACAATTATCAGCATGGATAGTTACACATTTTTCACCAAGGCTATGCAAGCAAAAATAGTTATGTATTAATGAAATTACTACATCAGCACCTTTTCTGACGCTCTGATTTTCAGGTATTAAATAATTTACCTAAGTATAAAATATTTTAATATTAATAAAGCAAACATACCAATATTAAATTTAACAATAAAAACTTAAATTAATACTTGTCGTGGGAATGCTTCTTCACATATGCCAAAAACACCAACTTTAAATAAAGATTTAAAGTAGATGGCACTCTGTATTTAAAAATAATAAATATACAGGTTACCCCCGTTTATATCAACCTCGTTAATATTAGCCTAAGCCGTCAAACAAATTTTTATAAATTTCTATATATCAAAATTCCCTCATATATATCAACTTTAATATGATTTCTCGTTAATATCACTATTAACATGATTTAAAACCAATTCAAATAGGTTGATATTAACGAGGGTAACCTGTATTTAATATATGAAAAAATTTTAATATTTATATAAAAAAAAAACTTTCCTCTTGTTGCGATGAAAAAGGTAAATGCATGCTTTCAGCAAAATCCCATGAGATATGATTTTCTATGTCTTGTGAATTAGAAACGCCAGGCCGTGGTAAATTATTATAACCAAAGTTTTTAATTTCTTCTTTAGAAATAATAATACATTTTCTACAAATATTTAATAGGTTAGTTTGAAATTCATATATTTGGCTACTATGTATGTTTATGTTATTATTAATAAAAATTAAGCAGATAAATCTGCTTAATTTATATTGATAGTAGCTAATATCATTGTAAATTGTTATATTATTTCTAAACAGCCTTTGTAGGCAAATTTGCTTACAAATTTACATGATTGTAGGGATGTTAATCAGTCCTTTGAGATCGAATCTTTACCAATCCTTTCAAGAATCAGTAAGGATTAGATCTTTAAATCACATAAAACTTAGACCCTGATCGAATTATTACTATACGGCACTGACTATAGTACCCAGGTACTATTCAATAAACTATCAAATTTCTTGAATAGTACCCACCTGGATAATAATTACAAAGGAGAGTACTATAACAAAAGGGTACTTTACATGGTTTTAATATTGTTTAATAGGATTTCAAGTCCAGAAAAATATATACTATTTGCCATTGCTTACAGTATCCTCCAAAAATAGTATCTTACCACATAAAGTACTTCCCTTCTCCACCAATGAGATCACTGGATTCGTGAATAGTATCTGGTACTATTCAATTTTAAAAATGATGTTCTTGAATTAGACCCTGGGTACTGTAAGCAGTGGCCAACGGTATATCTAACTAGAATAATACCTAAGTCTTTTTCAATTTCTGAAATGCAAGCCTGCGAATTGTACCTGTATCTTTTCCATGGGGTATTATACAGTAGCAGGGGCACTATAGTCAGTGCTATATAGTATTTAAATACGTAATATAAAATTAATTTGGTTGGATGAACTTATTTAGTATATAGATTCAATTTAGAATCTGATAAAGTTTATAACCCCTAGAACCAGACCGAACCAGGTTTAGAATTTAATATTCCTATATAATTGATCTGTAATTATACTACCAAATTATATTAGACTGTAATCTATACTATATATAATAGATTTGATGTTAAATTAACCATTTAAAGAATAATTATAGTTACCAATAATATTCACGCTCTAAACTAGCCCAAGAATAGTGATTAGACCATTCATTTATCTTATTTAATGTTTCACTTTAAGTCCACCGCTTAGCACTAAATCTCATTTCTTTACATCACATACAAAGATCACTACGTGCAGTTAAAAACTTAATTCCAGGAAAATAATGTTTCCAAATTCGGCTAAAGCTTGATTGACTAACTATATGATTATTTTCTTTATTATTATTAATATCAATTGCATCATTATAGAGACGAAATAATAAATAATAACTTTCACATGCTGGCAAATATATAATAGGACGTATATCTTCATGAAAATGATGACCTGTTTATATTATAATCTATTAATATAATTTAACACATTAATGTTAAGCAGATTTTAAATATTACCAGGTGAAGGAAGACCATATTGTGTAGCGAAATTTCGAATAAATATTAGGATATGTAATATTGTTTCAAATTTAATAGCATGATTACTAATACGTCCTTTAAGACCATGAACCATAGGACTTATATTATTTTTTGAATGATGTGTTCGAATCGTTTCCCATTTCAATTTTCCAATTGCATATATAGTAAACCAGGCTTTTTGGCAAATCGAAACCCTTAAAAATTATAATTGCTTGTTATATGCTGTTTAATTTCTCCATGGTTAGTAGTTGATTGTTGTATGCTAGCTTCAAGAATTTCTAAAAAAAACATATTTTTTTCTGTCGCTGACATTGATTTAATTTTACAAAATCTTTTAAGGGCTTCATCATGATTAATTAAGGTATTAAAACATTTTTTATTACAGCAAACCATTTGCCGAATTTTAGTTAAAAACGCTTGATTGTTTTGTTTGAACTTTTTATTTTTTTTTTTCTTCATATTCATTAACGTTTTGTATTATGTTTTTTTGATAAATTTGTTGAAATAATGTGATTTCTTGTTGTGTAAAACAATCAGTCCTGAAACTATCATCTTGTTCTATTATGCTACAATCGCTTGTCTGATTTTCTATAAAAAACTCATCATCTAATTTATCACTATCTTCAGCTATATTATAATGCTTATATAATTCATTAAACTCATTATTTAGGGTAGTCAACTCAGAATGTGTTTCAATAAAAATACTATCAAAAAGCACATTTTTATTTAGATTTTTATTCATAGTTGATAAATACTAAGAATAGAGGCCAGCAAAGAGTATGATGAGTGAAGTAATATGTGCGTTTCTTTTTATTTTATTGTTTCTATATTCCTACATTATGTAAAGCTTTTATGTATACATTGACATTATGTATAAAGCTATTATACTTGTAAATTATACCTTGTTTTTACCAGAATTATCTATT